CCTGCTGAAGACGGAATGTAAAGAGCTGCTTCTCTTACAGATCTCTTCAGGTTCTGGACAAAAGAACCATTGCTATCTGAAACCAAAACTAGAGTTTGAATCAGAAACAGCACATTGACATTTGTCATGATATCACATTGATCAAGACTGTTTATAGTTTATGAACTCCCTCCCCCAACAAGCCAATGTTCCAAAAAGAAAAATCTATAAATGGGCTTGTTGTCATTGTTATTAGCCTAGCATGAGGTTGATCAAACAAATGCCAAATCCTATTGCCCATGATAGAGAATATTGTTGTCAAGCAAGAGCCACCTACGTAAGACGAACCATACATAGTAAATTTATCCAATGTAACAAAATAGCATTGGCTGGCGGCTACAATGGTACCAGTCAACGGGTTGAAAGAACTGGCATAGCCATCATATGCATGGATTCCATACCATTTGGCATCAAAACCGAACGTCACATAGAGATCCGCTTTAGAAAAGGAATGATCTGAGCAACAGTTATTGTTCGTTCTTGAGTTACGATATGGAATGGTTGATGACTTCTAAACCAATGGGATCATTGAGTTGCCTCCCTTCCAAAGTGGCTTTCAGGGAGGAAAATATTAAATGAATGGGTACTTGCCTAATATGGACAGGATTGGTTTCATCCTTTCCCTGATATAATAATCATGACATTTGATGAAATAGGAAAATATGGAACAAACCTGGTAAGTTGTTTGTATGTGGTGGTTCTGTAGGGTTCTTCTCAGTCAAGCTTTCCATTTTGTTGATCTGAGGAGCCAAAGCATGCCGTTTTTGTGCATTTCCTCCTTTTCCAGAAGAGGTAGGAGTTGAACTGAATAACTGCGGAAGCTTTAGTGTAGGACTCGCTGAGACCTTCTCGAGCTGAACATTAGACATTTTGGAGGTCAAATCAGCAATATCGTTCGATACACCATCCTGTATTACAAGAGAAAAAGTGCAGATAAGCATCTCAAAGAATGTAATGTACGGTGGCTGGGAAAGAAGGACGGGTTCGGAGCGGCAACGGATTCGTGGCTTGACTGTGGCTTCTTGTGACTGGAGGTAAGGTTGGGGGAAGGCTATTAACTTTCTCTGTACACTCTGCTATTGATTTTTGTATTGCTGGAGCCACTTCCTTCAATTGGTTGATGAGTACCTGCAAATAGAGTGCGATCAATTAAAAGAACACATTACAAATCGAACTATTTAATATTGGACTAGTGATGCAAAACAAAGGTTTTATGAGACTGTTCAAAGGGGTTGAAATCTAGCAGATACGCCATGTCATTTGATAACTGCATCCATCTAGAGAGACCTTTCATTAATACCAATCTACTATGCTTTGTTTTAGGATCTCGTTAATTAGTATTTCGACCTCTGGTGTCTGATACCAAATAGAATGTCTGTTTCAAAATCTAACACAACTCATAGGAAAGGAGACTTCTTTCATCTAAGCCATTCAAAAAAGCATCTGTTGTGATAGATATCAATTGGTTATTTTCCTTCTGAAGTTGCTCTTCCACAGTTGCAGAAAACCAACTTCTATCAGAAACAACAATGACAGATCTCATATTAACCTGAAAGCTAGCTAAGTGTTGTTGATGCTCAGCCAAAGTGGCAGCTAAAGATTCCGCATGCCCACTTGTACCACCATCATGCTCAGTCCGTAAAATATCAGGACCTTCCCCATCGTTTGCTTTTGCCTACAAGATGTATCCGGACAATAATCAGCATTACTCTACAAGAAGACATCAAGAGATCTTCCAGAATGGTATGGAAAAAACATTTTCAGCAAAAAGAACACGGAAAACATACCAGGAGAAGGGACTGTTTATGGATACGCTGTAATGCGTGAGTCCAGCGCCTTATGATTTCTGCTACATCGACTGTCTGGTTGACCCTTCCACATCTATCATCTATCCGAGATAGTGTTTCATCACTTGCTTGAGAGTTTGGTGAATCGAAACTGTTTATTCCCTCCCCATGCATGCTCACATATGATCCATCACTGAGTTCTTTGTCATCTGTCAGTGCTGAAGCTGGATCATCCGACTGGACAGAGAGTAAGTCCGCACGAGGAACTTGAGAACTCTGATCCATCGCAGCAAGCAGGGCTGACCCAGAAATTCGATACCTGCAGATCAAACAAAAATCAAAGCTCAGTGTCTGGATAGATGAAATTCAAAAAGTAATCTTAGAGGAGGTCAGATACCTGTGCTCCCTATGAGCTATCAAATCCTCAATGGGACCTGATGCAAGAATTTCATGCTGGCCTGGAGAAGTAACAAAAAGCGAAACCAAAAACTGTATAATTTCTGTGTAATTCCAGAAACCAGGCATTCTCGCCTTATCAAACAGAACAGCATATCAATGTACCTTTGCGAGCCATTATAGATTCCCATAAGCGAGTAGCCTTTGCCACTAAATGAGAATTCTGACTAGAACTAGAGACAAGGTCATCCCACAATTCTCCTTCCTGCTTGACTTTGTTCCTCAAATCATTGAGTTTTTCTAGTTCTTGTTGCAAGTAAGCCTGATAACCAGCAGGGAAAAAAGATGCATTGTGTACAGCACAATACCAAGTGTGAGAAGACGACTACCTGAATATCGCTCGGCAAAAAAGAATTTATAATAAGTGCATTTACCTCTTCAGCACAAAGACCACGGAATTCTGCAGTCATCTCATGGGCTAAATTAGACCACATAGCTTGTCTCTGAACTGCAGTCTCTGCATTTTTTAGAAATCGCCGGCGCTCAAGTGCTATCCGGGCCTGTTTATTACATGTGGAATCATATGAAAACACATTAACATTTTACTTCATGTACTAGTTTCAACAAGGTTCTTCAGAAACCAATTAAAAGTAAAACAGGAACCCATGAATAAGCGATACCTTGGTTACAGGAAGCAGCGTAGCTGCATGTGAAAAGGATACATCTGTCAGAGAAGCAGGCAGAGGGTTGGAAGCCACATCAGCAGG